CAAAGTACTCAGCCAGTTGAAGTTTCATTTGGTAAGACTCTGGATTTCTTCAGAGGGAACAAGGAACCATGGAATGCAAGACAATTCACCATAAAAGCACAGTGAGCATGAACCATTTAGTGAAGAGGCCACCCACCAACATCACATTACCCAATAGTAACTGAGGCAATTTCAGCTTTATAATGTCCAATAAAAAAAATCACAGACATTCTTAATGAGGTCCCTGAGCCATCAAGGAATTGTTAGATTTGTTGTGCTTACTGCCATAAAGCCAGTCTCAGAAGGACGATGACTATATGATTCCACTTACATGAGGGGATCTTCAATGAGTTCCTAGAAGGTGCTTATCACGGAAAACTATGCATGGATATCAAAAATTTATGCACCGAAATAAACTCCTACTTAAATTCCATTTTCCATGAACGTATTGAAGTACTCTGAACGTGATGCATCAAGTAGTCAACCTGAGACGGGATGGTGGAGCATCAGGAAGATATGATACTCTGGGAAGCTGACCCACATGAGGTTTTAGGTTTACATACAAAGACCTTGCTGAGTCTGCCGGAAATGAGAGTGCCATGATCTAAGAGTGGCTGAAACTGGGGTGGATCGCGGCATCAAGACCCTGAGACCTACTCTCTTTCTCTTTAGATTTTTGCCAGAGAGAAACAGAGAGAGAAAGTGAGAAAGGGTTTCCTCTTTCTCTCTGTCTACTATTCATGGAAGAAATAAATACACTTTTAAAAACTGAAATATAGTTGTCAAACTTATGAAGCAGAAAACAGAATGGTGGTTGCCAAGGGTTGGGAGTAAGAGGAAATTGGGTATGAAGTTTTGGTTTCAAAAGATGAATAGGTTCTAGAGATCTGCTGTACAACTTTGTGCCTGTAGTTAACAACACAGATTGTACACTTAAAACAATCTAAGATATTTCAGCCCAGCCGTGGTGGTGCATGCTGGTAAGATGCTGCTGCTGCTCCACAGGCTGAGGCCACAGGGAGGCCCAGGTTCAATTCCTGGTCCACTCTTATTTATTCCCTATTACCTACAAAAGCATGGCATGGTGGCATGCACCTGTAGTCCCAGCTACTTGGGGGGCTGAGGCAGAAGGATTGCAACATAATACAACCCTGTCTTTTTTTTTTTTTTTTTAAAGAGGGCCAGGAAAAAAAAAAAAATTACCAGAAATGGTGGTTAAGGTTCTGGATTCCCATATGGTCAATCGTGGTTTGAATCCCAAACTTGGTGGCTTAAAAATCATGCCAGACACATGTACATGCATGCCCAAAATCCTGAGAGAATGCCGTAGGAGAAGGAATTGCATTGTGGCCATCTCCCTGCAGGGAGAAGGGGTATGATTTCTCACTTTCTCTCTCTGTTTCTCTCTGGCAAAAATCTAAAGAGAAAGAGAGTAGGTCTCATGTTAAGTAGTCTTATTAAAGAAAAAAAAGTGGGGAGATATAAGCAAATATATGAAGGCAATCCATATGTTTATAAACTCTTCATGGTGACAGTATCATGGGTGTATGTAAATGTCAAACTCATCAAACCATAAACGTTAAACTTGTACATTTGTGTATCAGTTATACCTCAAGTAAACTGCTTTTAAAAAGACTGTCATATTGTGGCCCACATTTTCTACTGAGAAAACAAAGACGAGGGGAAAGGATACTCCCAAAGTCTGCAAGGAGACTTACACAGTCTCCAGCACTGTGTAAGTGAGAGGGCATTATAAATTGGGAAACATCAATCTTTGGTCTCTGAGAAGCAAGTGAGTAAAAAGAGTGACTCACAGGCTATAGGAGTTGATGAAAGGAGTCCCTTTTGCTATTGTTCACTAAGCACTCTTCTAAAAATTGATACGTCAAATAACTCATAGGTATATGTCCCGTTATAAATTATACATTGGCATCCTGAATTATTAATCATTTCCCTTTGAGTTTGGTCAGAATTATCAGTTCCCCAAAGCTTTAACACCCCATGTCTCCAGTACCATTGGGACTTTGATGATTACCAAAACATGCTCCTAGGACCCATCTTGATTCTAAGACTACATTCATATTTCCAACTGCTTATTGAACAAATTCCTTAAAGTGTTTTGAATTTTCATCAAATTTGAACCTTACTAAAACCCAGGTCAGCTTCTGTTATCACCCGTACTTCTACAACACCTATATCTTCACGCCATTCCTAGGGATGACATCACCATCATTCCCAATCCTCAACTCTGCCCTCCTTACATTCCAAATTCAGTCCCCATCCCCCATATAGGTCTTCCTACTTCTATTTTTTTCCCCTCCAGCTCATTGTTCATATGGCAACTACAAGAATTATCACATAAATAGATGGATTTATTCTCCAAAATTCAAACTTACATATCCAACTGCCATTTCTGCATCTTTATTTGTATTTCTTATCTCAAACTTTTTATTGCTCATACAAACTCTTGCCTTTACTCTCTAAAATGTTTATCTCTGGTCTCTTCCATTTCAAGGAGAGGCATCATTGTTCATCAAATTGCCCAATTCAAACATCCAAGGATTGTCTTTGAATCCTCTTGCTTCTTCATTTGGTGCATCCAATCCATCATCTTCTCTCAATCCCCTGCCATGATTTAACTTCCTTGCACATCCAGCCCAATCCAAGACATCAGCAGCTATTAACTGGACTTCTGAATATCTGCCAATTAGTCTTCCTGCTTCCATTCTTATTCCGCTAAAATTCCTTCTCCATGGAGGACCCAGAGTGACAATTAAAGCATTCCCTTGCCTCATACACACATGGCTTCCCACTACATTTAGGATACAATGCAAATTCTTTACCTTGGCCTAAAAAGTCATCATTGATCTGCTCTTCTGGTCTTAGCCAGAGCCACTCTCCCCATGGCACCCAATCGCACTGGTCTTCCTTCTCTTCTTTAACATAACAAATTCGTTCCTACCTTAGGGTCCTCCCCAGATACTTCCTCTGCCTGAGATGCACTTGTCCCTGATCATCACATGGTTGTTCCTTCTTCTAAGTCAGGATTAAGTTGACCTAAATGTCAACTCCTCTGGGAGGCCTTTCCTGACTACCTAACGAAGTCCGGTCACTATCACATCTCCATTTTAATTCTCTGCATGATACTACTCCTGCCTGAAATTGCTTATGATTTATTCATTTATTTTTTTCTTAACTCAATAACCAAAGCAACCTCCATGGCTGCAGAGATCTCACTCGTCACATTCACTCCTCTGTCTATAGGCACTTGGATCAAATCATCAGATAAATTAATGTCACTGCAATTGCCACAGGCAACTTTCCCTGACTCCCCAAGGAACTCGGGAAATCCAAACATCCAGCAGCTACACCTTGTATGGGACAAGGTAAAAAAACCACTGTCTAGCTGACTTGACAAAAACCATTATTAGAGAAGATCCCATGGCAAAAGGTGGAACATTATCCTTTAACAAAGATAAAAAATATGGGACCGGCAGATGACATAACAGTTATATCACTTGACTCCCATGTATTCAACCAAGGTTCGAGTCCAGAACCCATCATCTTAAAATTCATACTGGGCACTTGTGCATGTATGCCCAAAATCCCAAGAGGAGAAAAGATTGCAGCATGGCTGAATAAAATTACCTCTTAGGGGGTAATTTCTCACTTTCTGTCTCTCTCTCACTCTGGTGAGTACATGTACCCTGAAGCAAAAAATCCTAGCATGGTTCCTATTGCTTTTAAGTGGTCAAATCACTTACCCTCTCACTCTCTGAGCTTTAAGTTTTTTCCAGCTATAAAATGGGAATAATGCACCTCCCATGTCCAAAGTTTGTAAAGATACGAGACACTACATGTTAAGTACCTGGCGCATCCCAGGTGCCCAGTAAAGAGCACCAATTCAAACACTGGAGCCCTGATAGTCCAGGATTCAGACTTCACTAAAAGGGAAATGAAACTTGATCTAATATTTTAAAAGTCTGTGGAGCCTAAATGTACCAAATTCCAATGCAAGCCCAACTCTGCTTTTCTTCCAAACCACCATTTCCATTCCCACCTGGTCAACATGTCTTTTTTTATTCCCCCCCTCAATTTTTGCTAGAGGGCATGGGCATTCACTGGAGAAAGAGAGTGAAAAGTGAGAAAGCACTACCCTTGGGTATGACCATGCCACAATCCTTTCTCCTCCATTTCTTCTTTTGGGATTTTGAATGGGCACCCACATGTGACTGGCATGTTTTTCAAGCCACAGGGTTAGGAACTTGAGCTGTGTAGTTGGCTGTGTGGAAATCCAGCCACCTTAACCACCTTACTATCAACCGGCCCTTAATATGTGCTTTTATCCACTTTGCTCCCACCAAACATGGCAAGGTCTCATCACACCACCAACTGTAACACTTGGGCCATCTTCCATAAATTGGCAGTGGATGTAACTGTCTTTTCACATATGTGTGTTTTTAAGTTCATACCGGTGGTCTTCACTCTCAACTCCCTTTACTCCTCTTTCCGAGACCACTCTAACAACACTCCTTTGCAAGGCTTGCCCACCCCACTAGGGAGAGTTCCGCATGCTTTCTTCTGCACTCCAAAGTTTCTAACCTGTACCTCATTCGTAAGGGCCATCTATTCCACTGTGCATCACTTAGTCGATGTATGCCTCTCTCATTCCTGAAATTACATTTCTTTTTTTTAACTTATTTTTTTTATACATTCATGTAGCTTATAGAGAGAATTTACCCAACATGAAATACATCTCAGACCAGTCCAGTTGAGAATACTATACACATTATCATCAACAGGTAATAAACCATTTCTGTGCTCCACAAATGTTCTATTTCTCCTTAATTTTCTTCCTTACACTCTTCTCCTTCCCCATCCTCCTTTCACACTGTCTCCAGTGGAAATGGTGTTTCTTAAGACTCAGAAGTAAGATCATTAAATCCCGGTTAACCCTTGGCCCACGTGTTGTCTGCAGTGAGAACGGACCATGGCTAACTCCTAAGGTCAGACTCCCTTACTTCGCTCTGATCTCTTCTCCTCTTCATTTTTCTCCAATGGAAGCACTTGCGAGTCTTTGGTGTAGCTCATTTTATTAGGTTCCTGAGAAACACAGAATGAAGAAGGTAAACTGGTAAATATCATCTAATGTTAAAAGAGGATAGTTTCGGGACCAGCAGTTAGTGTAATGGCTATGTCTCTGGACTCCCACGTTGTCGACTGTGGTTTGTATCCAGGACCTAGTGGCTTAAACTCATGCCAGGTGCATGTGCGTGTGTGCCCAAGATCCCAAGAGGAGAATGGAGGAGAAGGGATTGCGGCATGGCCATCCCCCCGGGGGGGTGATTTCTCGCTTTCTGTCTCTCTGTCTGTCTGGTGATTTGGGCATGCACACACACATGCACGCGCCCTATAGCAAAAACCTCTTCAAAAAAAAAAAAAAAGAAAAGAAAAGAGGATAGTTTCAGAAAAAGAGACAATTGAGTATGTAGAAAACTACTACCACTACCTACAATAAAAGTAAAAATAGCAATAGTCCATTCCCCAGAGGTCAGGAAAGAGATCTCTTGAAATTGGGGATAAATTGATTGTTGCTAGTTTCAAATGAATATTTTCAGGCACAAATACACACAAATATACAATGAACTGTAACTGCTATCCGCATCAAAATTATGTGTGAGTAATATGCCAGGAAATTTTGAAGTTCTGACAAAAGAGATTTTGTTGAGTCAGAAATCTAATTAAACAACAAGGACTTTAATGCATTGTCTTGGCGTGGTGGAGAGATGCATCAAATACTTTTTTTTTTTTAAGAGAGATTTTGCTATGAGGCTCAGGCACTCACAAGAGAGACAGAGAGACAGAAAATGAACCCCCCCCCGCCCCAGGGAGGAAAGGCCATGCTGCAATCCCTTCTCCTCTAGTCTCCTTTTGGGATTTGGGCACGCACACACACATGCACCCACACATGCCCAGCGTGAGTTTGAAGCTACCAGGTCCAGGACTCAAACCGTGGTCAACTACGTGTGAATCCTGCAACATAACCATTAGGCCAGTTGCTGGTCCCACATAAAATACTTTTAAAATCCAGAAATAGGCTCTTATGAAGTGTGTTGAGTGGATGTCTCCTCTCCAGCGAAGACTTGGCCTTTAAAAGCTGCCCTTGTGCAACATTGCAGGAAAATCAGCTCTCCCCAACCACTCTCGTTGTGTTTCTTTGAGATTATTGCATACGAATTTCAATATCTGAAGAGGGCAATTGATGAGACAATTTGCTAACATTCTCATTATAGTAAAGCTGTGTGTTAAACAATGGTTTTGAGTAAAGTATAGCACAGAATTAAGAGCATGCAGCAATTTACTGCTTGACCAGGAATGGAACACTTAAACTTTCTAAGGCTCAAGGTTCTGATCTATAAAACAGAGGCAGTAAGAGGAACTACTCCATGAATCGTCATGAAGATTTAGTGAGATGTTTTACACAAAGCATTGAGCACAGAGTCTATTGGGTAGACCATTATCACCACTACTAAATGCAGAGTGGCAATCTGCTTACACAAGACCAAAGCAGTATGGAACAATGTTCAGGCAGAGAACCATGCATCTCACCAGAAAGAGTCACTAAGTTTAAGATCAGGAAAGAAACAAGAGACAAACATCAGAAGATGTGCTCAGGGGACCCTTTAATGCTGTCATACTGTTTTCCTCACATCTCAGCCATCCTAACACATCCAAACTATTTTTCAATTCCAAGAGTCCTATTTATACCATCTGTTCACCAAAAGACACTCTGAGCTTACCCGTGAGACCAGGCAGGTCCAAGACATCTGTGTTCACTTGCTACCTCATGTGTACACATGCACATATACACATGTAGCCCCGAGAAAGACATCCCCATAGAGTCCCTGGCATGAGAGAGTCTTTGAGTCACACACTCACGCATGCAAGAATGAGTGCACATGTACAGCATGTATCCACATGTGCACATGCCTGTGTAACTCTCGAATGAGTGCACATGTACAGCATGTATCCACACGTGCACATGCCTGTGTAACTCTCCTAAGTCATCAGCATGTCTGTTGTGCCTCCTCCTCCCTTCCAACTTTGACATCCCTGTCCCAGCCAGTTTCTATTTCTCTTCTCAGACCATTTTAGTATGAATGTAGAGTGACTTAATGTGCAAAGCCAGGCCAGGAAGTCTCACCAGATTCCTACTGGGAATAATCTGGAGACGTAGGTATGCAAACAATGTTAGAAGGGATATAGGGTGGGGTACAGAATTTGGAGTCAAGAGATCCAGTTTTAAAATCCAGCCTCATCTCTTGCTGTCTGATCTTGAGCTGACTTTTAAATTTTTCTGAATCTCAGTTTCCTCACATCCATGATGGGAAACATCCTGCTTCATGAAATGTTATGATGACCCAATTCATACAGGTAAAAGCATTTCGTGATCCATAAAGAGCTTTATAACTGTCAGCTATTGTGGTAAAGACCAAGGATACTTCCTATACTTTATCAGTATAAATTTTGTTCTCTGGAGCTCACTTTGGTAACAAGAAATCTAAATAACACTGGCATCCAGAGTGAGGCCAAGATGAAGTCTAGAGTAGGGGTCCTCAACCCCTGAGCCACAGACTACACTGGTCCATCACCTGTTAGGAACTGGACTACACAGCAAAGGTGAGTGGCAGGCAGAAAGCAAAGCTTCATCTGTATTTACAGCCACTCCCCATCACTCACAGTACTGCCTGAGCTCCACTTCCTGTCAGGTCAGCATTGGTATTAAAGTCTCATAGAAGTACAAATCCTATTGTGAACTGCACATGAGATCTAGGTTGTGCACTCTTTGTGAGAATCTAATGTCTGAAGATTTGAAGTGGAACTGAGGTGGTGATGCTAGCACTAAGGAGCAGGTACAAATACTGCATTATGGTGAATTATATAATTATCTCACTGTATATTACAATGTGTTAATAATAGAAATAAAGTACACACTAAATGTAATTAATGCACTTGAATCATCCCAATCCATCCCCCATCACTGGCTCCTGGAAAACTTGTCTTCCATGAAACCAATCCCTGATACCAGAGAGGCTGGGGACCACAGCACTAGAGGGAGCAGATATGCCTCATTATTCAGAGAGTAACAGACCACAGATGGGGGTGGGTAGTGTGGGTGCCAACATGGACTCATCTGATATCCTTGGAGTGGGGGTAGGATATGGTGAAAAAGTGAAAGTTAGATGTAACTAGTTTAAACGCTCAGAATTATATGCCCCTCAAATCTTGAGAATGCTTCAGAATCCCTCAGGAGGAGCAAGATGACCAGGGAACTCATTGCCCTCTGCCCCTAACAATTCATGACTTGAGCCAACAGGCTGAACAAAGACTCCACAGCAACTGAGCCCATAAGCTGTGGAAGGCAGCCCATAAAATGGTTCCTCATGATCTCACCTCCTAGTATTCATATCCTTGAGAAATCTCCTCCCCTGAGTATGAGACACAGCCATCTTATGACTCACATCTAACAGAATATGGTCAAGGTGATGCTGGGTCACTTCTGAGATTAGGTTACAAGAAAACTTTGGCTTCCATTTTGAAAGTACACTCATGATTTCTCTCTTGTGCCTTCTGAGGGAAGCCAGCTGCCAGATGCCCTGTGGAGAGGCCCATGGGACAAAGGATCAAAGAAGTTTTCCAACCAGCAAGTAGCTGAGGCCTTAGTTTAACAACCTGTGATGCACTTGATTTTTCTGATAACCAGGTGAGTAAACTTAGAAGTGAATCTTCCTCACTTTGAGCCTTCAGATGAGAGCACATCCCAGCCCAAATCATGGCTGCACCCTCATGAAAGAATGCTAAGACAGGCAGACAGTTAATGCATACTCAGAATCCTGACTCACAGACCTCACAGAAACTGCGAGATAATATTGGGTTGTCAGGAAATTCATGATATACCTTTTTCTATTTTTTCTATATAAAAATATATCCTATAGGACTAGCAGTTGGCATAATGGCTATGTCACTGGACTCCCATGTAGTTGACCGTGGTTTGAGTCTCAGACTTGGTGACTTAAATTCATGCCAGGCATGTGTGTGTGTGTGCCCAAGATCTTGAAAAGAGAATAGAGAAGAACGGATTGCAGCATGGCCATGGCCACCATGGGGGGGGGGTATGATTTCTCACTTTCTATCTCTGTCTCTCTCTGTCTTTCTGGCGAGCACATATGGCCTATAGCAAAAAACCTCTCAAAAAAAAATACGCATCCTGATTTTTCTAACAACCCAATAAATGCCTTTTTTTTTTTATATTGCTATAGAGTGCATGTGCTTGCTTGCGAGACGTAGAGACAGAAAGCAAGAAATCACCCCCTGGGGGGATGGCCATGCCACAATCCTTTCTCCTCTGTTCTCCTCTCAGGATTTTGGGCATGCACGCACATGAGCCCAGAGCATGAGTTTCACGCACTGGGTCTAGGACTTGAACCATAATCGCCCACATAGGAATCTAGTGCCCCAACTACTATACCACCTGCTGGCCCCATAAATGTTATTTTAAGTAATTAAATTTTGGGGTAATTTGACACACAGCAAAAGACAATTAATACAAGGTCCTTACCAGCCAGACACTCCAAGAAAAAACTTCCACCCATGAGATTAGGAGGAGGGCTTCCTATTCTGGCAATAGGGAGAAATGTCACTGCATAAATCCTCTCTCCCTTTTCTACTCCTACCTCTAGGGGACACTGTTTCTATTAAAAGAAAGAAACTTGGGGCCACTGTGGTGGCCACATGAGAAAGGTCCTGGGTTCTGCCATGCCCACAATTTGAGCCAGCTGAGACTAGGAGTGGACTGGGGTGTGAAGACTTTGTTAGGGATGACCTCTCTCTTTCTCCCTCTCTAATGAATAAACCTTTAAAAAAAATATTTATACAAACAGAGAATTTAGGCCTGAAACACACTACAAAATAAAACTTGTCTTTTAACAAAGCTGATTTTTTTAAGAGTTTTTTGCCTCAGGGCACATGCATTCGCTGGAGAGACAGAGACAGTGAGAGGGAAAGTGTGAAACTCCCTGGAGAATGGCCATACCTTAATCTCT